GGAAGGAAGGAAGGAAGGAAGGAAGGAAGGAAGGAAGGAAGGAAGGAAGGAAGAAAGAAAGAAAGAAAGAAAGAAAGAAAGAAAGAAAGAAAGAAAGAAAGAAAGAAAGAAAGAAAGGCACATTTACATGTTGGAGAGCAACTCTTGCAAATGGATTCAAACTTGTGTGATGCAAAATTAGTGGAGCATCAGAACTCCGGCCCCATCCACTTTTCTCGCTCTCGGGAAAGCCTCTTTCCTTTCACCCAAAGTCTCATGCCAAAGCAGGGGGTTGGGGGTGGACTAGGTGACCGCTGGGTTCCCTTCCAGCTCTAAAAGGTTCTTCTCCTTCTCCACCGAAGGCCCAGCACATCATCCACCTCCGCCGGCTGTCTGAGGGACAAGACAACATCCCCCTCTCGGAACAGCTCGGAAAACCCCGACTCCGGGATCATGAGGAGGCCACCGAGGATGACCTCGGCTCCAGCATTGTAAGTATTTCTAGGCTCGGTTTGAAGGGCGGGCCTGCAGGCTAGAAATTCTGAGTTTCACTTGGAAGATTCACTCGGCCTCTCTCCCAACCAGGACACCATGGCCATTAAGAGGCAAAAGAACTGCCGCAGAATTCGCCCCGCGTCTGCCTTCATCAGTGAGTAGCTAGAGCTGTCTTACCTTGGGCGTATACCTGCTCCCTTAAAACTTTTCCCATGCAGCTTTGTCTCTCTTGCATCTTGAGGGGTAGCTGCTTCAGCCTTCTCTGAATATATAGCGGGACTCCCTTATCAGCGGGATCGGGATCCACTGATTCACTTATCCACAGTCTGGAAATATTTTTTAAAAAAATTACTGTATATACTCAAGTATAAGCCTAGTTTTTTCAGTACATTTTTTGCTGAAAAAGCACCACCCCCTCGGCTTATACTCGAGTCAGTGTCAAAATTACATGTTCTCCCCTGCAATGCAGGTGTTCTCCGAACTCCCCTGCTCATCTGTGGGCACCTGCAGGTGCAATGCAGGTGTTCTCCGAACTCCCCTGTGGGCACTTGCAGGCTCTGTGGGTGGTCCAATGACCCGGGTTAAGTACACTGCATTTCCGCTTCCAGGATACTCCCATCCTCCTCCTTCTGCATATTCTATGTACCCACCTTCCTCCTCCATTCTCCGTCTCCCTCCATCTTGTTACGCAGCAGTAGAGCAGTAGATAAACACAGCATCCGGTTTGAGTTAACTCCCCTGTGGGCACTTGCAGGCTCTGTGGGTGGTCCAATGACCCGGGTTAAGTACACTGCATTTCCGCTTCCAGGATACTCCCATCCTCCTCCTTCTGCATATTCTATGTACCCACCTTCCTCCTCCATTCTCCGTCTCCCTCCATCTTGTTACACAGCAGTAGAGCAGTAGATAAACGCAGCATCCGGTTTGAGTCCTCCCTCGGCAGGCAGTGAAGTGTGTCTTGCAGCTCAGAAGGGCAGTATCTTCCAAAACATTTAACCTACTGATGCTTCAATTAATGTAATTTTATTGGTATCTATGTTTATTTTTGCAATTTACCAGTAGCTGCTGCATTTTCCACCCTCGGCTTATACTCGAGTTAATACGTTTCCCAGTTTTTTGTGGTAAAATTAGGTGCCTCGGCTTATATTCGGGTCGGCTTATACTTGAACATATATTTCTAAAGATGAAGTTACCAGAATGGACCACTCGAGGGAGTCAGAGACCATTCTACGAATCGCATTCTCTATTAAAATGGTGTTCGGTATAATCCACATTTTTCAGCATCTACAGGGTAGTGGGGTTTGCAACTGGTCCCCTCCAGATACGGGGTTCCTATTGTACCATCTGCAAACTTCATGCATCCGTTTGCATTCCTGTTCCTGTACATCGAGAGAGGGAGAACCAGGTTCAATTGAAGAGAGATTCTTCAGTGGGCGGGTGGCTGCTTTCCAAGAGTGTCTGGGACAAAAGGCGAAAGGGGTGGGGGCAAAAATCTCAATATATTTCAGCTTAACGTTTGGACCGCCGTAACTAATAAGAATAATGACGTTAGGACTGCAGAGCTGGATGGGACCTCTAGGGATCTTTGAGGCCCAGCGGGGAATCGAACTCTGAAAAAGGCGTTCCAGCCTTGAAGATTGTGTTGGGGTGGAGGGAAGAAGCCTAGACAAAAACTAGACAGCTGCCACATGATAGTGTCTTGCTGGCAAGGCCATCACTCTCTGCGGAACCCTCTGCAGAGCTGGATGGGACCTCTAGGGATCATGGAGTCCAGCCCCTTTCCAGGAGGCCCAGCGGGGAATCGAACTCCGAAAAAGGCGTTCCAGGCTTGAAGAGTGTGGTGGGGTGGAGGGACGAAGCCTAGACAAAAACTAGACAGCCACCACATGATAGTGTCTTGATGGCAAGGCCATCGCTCTCTGGGGAACCCCGAAGGCCAGCGTTGGCCCATGGCTTCAGGTTGTCCCCTCCGCCCGAGCTGCTCCCCTCCAGATGTTCTGGTCCACCCTGCTCAGAAAAGCTGTGCTTCAGCTGCACGACCTTCTGTGACGACGTCCCTCCTCTCCCTTCCTGCCCCTCCAATACTCACCTGGGCACACCCTTCCGTCCGGGGGTCCTCCCCCCCCGTGCCTATCTAGTCCGCTGTCTTCCTTTTGCAGGTGGCTCCGAACCGGAGGGCGATCTCGCCGTGCCCCGCATGGGTTCCCCGCTCGGCTGGATCTCCTTGGCCAGCAGCAGTCAGTACTCGCATTCCCGCAGCACGTCGTTCGAGGCCCTCTCGGACCTGCCGACAGAGGGCACCCGGCTGGAACATCAGACCCGCGGACGGCCCCGCCCCCCTCGTACCACTCCTCACGGCGGGTTCCGCTCCCACGTAAGTTTCTCCCACGTATTCCTTCGTCTTTCCCTCGCTTGGTTGCTCTGTTCCCCAAGTTTCCTCTGTCCCTCACTCCTCCTTCTGTTCTCTTTTTCATATAACACTGGGTTCAACTCTCCCTTCTTCCACATACAGTACAACCCCCTTATCCGCGGGATCAGTATCCACGGATTCACTTATCCGCAGTCCGAAAATATGAAAAGAAAAAATCCTAGAAGTATATATATCTAAAAGTGAAGTTTCCAGAACTGGCCACTAGAAGGAGCCAGAGACCACACTATGGATATTGTTCGTTATAATCCGTGTTTTTCAGCGTCCGGCAGAGATGAGCTTTGGACGGATTTCCCCACTGTTATGCGGCCCCTACTAGATCTCCTTTAAATAACAACATTTCTGGAAAGGATTTCATCACAACGTGTCCAAACTTCTCAACGTTCAGTAAAATAAAATGCATAAAAAATCTACGCATGGGCTTGTTAAAATCAAGAGGTTTAAAACGACACCAGCCAACATTAAAACATACAAAGGAAGGTTTCAAAAGATACAATTCTCATTTTTTAAAAAGGGCTCTGTGCAAATCAAATTCCAGTCAATAAGGCGCCATTGGAAGCATTGTGTCCGTACCGGGGGCTCTTTCTCTAGAAGTGTTTTCCAGCGTTGGAGCTGCCACCGCAAAGACCGTCTCTTTTATAAATGATAAAAAATGGGCATCGTTTATGCATTGCACAAAGAATAAAGCTCAAAACAGTTCCTTTTTTTCCCCTGGACTCCGAAGAACCTTCCAACGTTCAAAGCTTGAAAAACCAACTTTTCCGAACTTTGGCCCGGAAGGAGGACGTGCTCAGCCAGCGCATTGTAGCGCATGGGCAGAGGCGGATGCTGCCACATGAGCATCTTTGACACATCTTTGTGTCTTAATGGACCTTCATCTTCATCCCCCAGGGTTGCTGGCTTACACTGTTGCCCAACTAGCTACTGTCCCACAAGCTTTATCTATGTGGTTCTTACATCCCATCTGGTTGACATTGGGCGAATGAGCGACCTCCAAAATGCGGGTGATCACGGAACAAAGGGAATGCAATTAGCCTTCAGAGGAAGTACAAAGAAGAGCGGACCAGCAGATCTCCGAGCCAGCGGAGCCTACAGGGAACGCCTTGGGAACTCGTTTTATTAGCACGATTACATAGAATGTCATGAGAATTCAGATAGGATACTAGTTACCTAATCGCCCTAGGATTGGCCGGAGAAGCCCTTTGATCTAACGCTCTTTGTTGTTGTTTAGCCGTTAAGTCGTGTCCGACTCTTTGTGACCCCCTTGGACCAGAGCACGCCAGGCCCTCCTGTCTTCCACTGCCTTCCGGAGTTGGGTCAAATTCATGTTGGTTGCTTCGGTGACCCCTGTCCATCCATCTCGTCCTCCGTCATCCCTTTCTCCTCTTGCCTTCACACTTTCCCACCATCAGGATCTTTTCCAGGGAGTCTTCTCTTCTCATGAGACGGCCAAAGGATTGGAGACTCAACTTCAGGATCTGTCCTTCCAGTGAGCACTCGGGGTTGATTTCCTTCAGAACAGATAGGTTTGTTCTCCTTGCAGTCCAGGGGACTCCCAAGAATCTCCTCCAGCACCACCATTCAAAAGCATCCATTCTTTGGCTGTCAGCCTCCTTTAGGGTCCAGCTCTCACTTCCGTACATCGCTACATCTAACGCTCTACCTCTAAGCAAAAAGGCAGAATGAGGGGTCTGCCCGGAGTGTGTGCACATCCATCTCATATTGGGTTTTTCCTCTTTTCCCTGCTGCCTTACCCAGCAGGATGGTCTTTTCAAGCCTTCTTACGAGGTGACCAAAGTAGGACAAACTCCGTTTCATCCTTTTTCCCTCGGTTCAGGCTTGGTTTGATCTACGACGCCCTTGTTTGTCTTTCTGGACGTCCGGGGTATCCATGAAGCTCTTCTCCAGCACCGCATTTCAAACAAATCCATTTTTCTCTCCCCCCCCCCAAGTCAGGTGTCTTTCCTGTCCAGCTTTCACACCCATCCGTACGTGAGAATCAGAAATACAAGAGTGTGGACGATCTGGGCCTTGATTTCCAGGGACACTTTATTTTCCTTATACCTTTTCTGTGCTTTCATTTTTGGAAGAGCTAAGCCGTGTCCGTCTGCACTAGCCTGTCAGGTAAAAAAAACAAAACACAAAAATTTTAAAATTAAGAAGACGTAAAAGGTTGTGGCCCCTTAAAGACTAGCTGCTTTAGTTTCATGGGAACTTTTTTCGTGGAGGAATCCGCTTCTTCAGAGAAGGTCCAATTAAAAACAATAGCACTTAGTTCTTAAGGGGCTACAACGCTTTTTGTCTTTATTTTTTTTTAATTTGTGTTTTGGGCCTGACAAGCCGCAGCGGGACGCGAATCGGAGAACAAGACAGGAAGTACCAGCTGCGGGAAAAGGGGCTTGCTTTTTTCCCCCTCTTCGGGGAGAGGAATGAAACGAGACGTTCTGTTGAAAAACATGTGGCGAAATTGATAACGCTCTCTTTTTTCTTCGCCTCCTTTCAGAACCGAGCGCTGGGGTCTATTGAGTCCAGAGAACAAGAGAACGGGTCGGCGCCGCGGCTGGACGAAGGCCTGGATGAGTTTTTTAACCGGAAGGTGCTGGCGGACAATGCCAGGTGAGTCTAGAGCCAACGTGGGCAGCCACTGAGTAGAGACGCTCGGCGATGGTGGTCCTCATCTAGATTTTTGCCCCCGTCTAATACCCCGAAGTCCCTGAGGTTGGGAGTTTGATTCCCTCCCTTGTGCCTCCTTGACACAGGCTGGGCTGGATGATCGCACAGGGTCCCTTCCAGTTCTGCAATTCTAAGGTCATTATTATGATGGTTTGACCAACGTAATTTCAGAGGGCTGAGGACCTATTTTAGGTTGGAAGAGGTCCTTTATGAAAAGAGAAAGGGACGGCTGGTGGCTTTCCTTTCCCCCACCTTCCCCGGTCTTGAAACAAGCCTTGGAGAAGGCAGGAATTACATACAAAATGACACACTGTAGTTTTCTGTATGGATGTTTTGGGGATATTGGGGAGCCTTGGGGGGGCTACATGACAGTCTAGGGACTAATCTAGGGGGTCCCCTTCTGCCCGGGTTGGCCCGGATGCCAATTTCCTCCAGCGCGAGTTCATGCTCCTCACTATTTCCCTTGGACAGCTCTTCCCGGACCCCGAAGGGCTGTGGGGTGAGGCCGGGACCCTCGGACTCCCTCCCGCCCCTACAAAAGAAGAGGAGACGGGGCCTTTTCCATTTCCGCAAGTATCGGAGCGTCAAAGGAGAGCGGGACCCCGAGGACCTGCCTCCGAGTCCTCCTCCTCCTCCTCCAGCCGGTGGGGAGGAACAGAAGCCCCCGCCACACTTGCCCGCGGCCCAAGAGGAGGAGAGGAAGCCCGGGCAGGACCTCTCAGGAGTGGCGGTGCTTCTTCCGGGGATGGGCGCCGTGGCCTCAGGAAGCGGGGTGAAAGGTTTGCCAAGCAGGATGAAACCGGTGAGGAAAGGGATAGGGTGGGGGGGAAATGCCGGGAGGGGTCCCACCATCTTCTCATTTCCTGTCCTTCCCTCTCCTCTCTCTCCCCCCCAAAAAGGGTTCTGTTCCTGACCCAGAGAGGGTGGAGCCAGAGGCCAAAGGGGCGGAGCTCCTGCAACCCTCGCAGGTCCAAGGCGTGGCCTTGCCTGGCATGGGATGCGTCAAGGGGTGGAGCCTGGATGCCAAGTTGGAGGTGATTGGTGTTCCGCTGGGAAGGAGGCGGGCCAACGGGGGAGACCGGGACCTTGAACCGACCCTCATCTTTCGTGGAGTTCACCGGCTTTGTTTTCCTGCTGCAGAGCGTCGATCTGGAGCGAGGGGGCAGTATGCGGGACCAGCAGAGACGGCGCTCCTCAGATGACTCAGGTGGATAGCTCCACCCCGCACCTTCTTCCCCATATCAATGCCCCACGTCCAAGCTTTTCTCGGGGAGGTCAGGAAAATATATACAATGGTGCCTCGACTTACGGCCACAATCCGTTCCAGAAGATGGACGGAACTCGAAATGGTCGTAAGTCAAAGCACCGTTTCTCATAGGAAGGCGTTGAAATCCCATTAATCTGTTCTGAGCAGATCGGAAATGCACAGAGAACAAAGGGTGCAGGTCGGAAATGCAAAGAAAACAGGAAAAAGCAAGGGAAATATGCAGGTCTCATCAGAAATGGGCCCCCCCCAAAAAGCAACCAAACCTCCCGAGACCCATTGGAAATGCACAGAAAACAAATGGAGCAGATCGGAAATGCACAGAGAACAAAGGGTGCAGGTCGGAAATGCAAAGAAAACAGGAAAAAGCAAGGGAGACATGCAGGTCTCATCAGAAATGGGGGGGGGGAGGCAAAAAGCAACCAAACCTCACAAGACCCATCAGAAATTGGGGGGGGGACCAAAAAACAAACAAACCCCCCAAGACCCATCACAGCACAGAAACATAACCCCCCCAGCCCAAAACCACACTGCAAAAATACCCAGAACCGTACTGCTGTCCAAACAGCACCTTATCTTACCAGGCAGCCCGAAGCCTCCCTGCAAAACACACAGACACACACACACACGAATTGGACTCGGTGAGTTTGTGTTTGTCCTAAAAGGAGAGAGAATTTGCCATCTGAGGTTTGCTAGCTGCTCGACACTGCTGTCGGAAAATACATGTTTCCCATGTTTCGGAGGGGAGTTAGCAAAAGGAATGTCTGAAACGGCCCTGCTGTTAGACACAGTGAAGCAGCTGCCCCAGGCGGAGGTGCACCTCACGAGTCTCCTGCCCGCAGTTCAAATAGACATTCCTGTCGCATCACCAGGGATGAAGCCCAATTCCCTTTCCCGTCGGCTTGACTTCAGTAGGCGAAGTGGGGCTGGAGGAGAGAAGGAGGCAATCAGGAAGGAAAAGATCCCAAGGCAGCCTTCTTCCTCGACCTCGCACCCTCCAGGTGTCTTGAATTTGAATGCCCATCATCCCCCAGCTTTGGAGTGGTCATCCCATGCATCTGGAAGGGGTTGGGTTGGAGAAAGTTGGCCTGAGGGGGCATGACCCCATCAGCTTTGAGCCCTTCAAAGTCCTGTTGGTTTTTAGTGGAAGGATTAACATCCCCTCATGCATTCTCTGTGAGGACTTAAGAGTGCCTAAATCTGACTACATCTGATCCCATCATGTATAAAGAGGGTGATAATGTCTTGAAAGCATACATGCAGTCTAATCATGTATTCCCTCAAGATCAGCTCTCGCTGCACTTGCCTCAAAAAAAAAAATCTGTAACTGAAAACATTCAGAAAGTAAGCATTGGGAAAAATATTATTTTTTAAATGACTGTGCAGAGATTTGAGGTTTTGTGGATAAATACAGCCGGAGTTTATGCAGGAATAAAGTCTCACTTTACTCCATGGAATTTGCAACACCTCTGTGGCAAAACGCTGTCTGTTCGCCCTGCCTCAATTTCCTTTGTGTTCATCCGAGATGTGGTGATGTGTGTCGTATATATAGGATGACACCCTTAGTTTTAGCTTGAGCTCAACAACAGGATTGAAGCTTGAGCGGAGAAAGCATTATAAGCGCTACCTCTTTATCCATCCGACGGTATGATGGCATGCTCTTGGGTTGCTAGGGGAGGCAGTGAAATGAACCGGTTTTACAGGCAGGGCAGCCGCATCGTCCGAGGGGGTTGACTTTCTGCCTTCTTTTTTATAAATATATTTTATATCGAGATCGCTAAAGGAACACGGCAAGGTGCCCACTCTCCCCATTATTGTTTTTCCTCTTATTGGAAACATTAAATAGAGAAATGAGACAGAATCAAGGAATACAAAGAACAAAGATACAAGACAAAATTTATAAACTTCAAGCATTTGCAGACAACCTGGTCTTCATCTTCGAGAATCCAATAGAAACAGCTCTGATTTTGTTTCAACAAATTAAGGAATTTCGCGAGGTAGCGGGACTAGAAATTAAACGAGAGAAGACAAGATTCTTAACCAAAAATTTAACCCTGAAGCAAAAGAGCCAACTCATCTCAAATGCAAACATTCAAATTACAGAAAAAGTAAAGTATTTAGGAATTAACTTGACTGTCAGATGGTCTTCATTGAAAGAAGATAACTATGTGAAATTCCTTGTGCAGGTCAAGCAAGACTTGGAAAGATGGGAGAAATTGCAACTGTCCTTCTTAGGAAAAAATGCAACAGTTAAAATGAAGTTAGAGCAAAAGTTTTTTTAAAAGAGTTAAATAGTCTGGTTTCAAAGTTCATATTGCAAAAGAAGAAACCGAGAATTAAACGCAAATTATTACAAGATGCAAAAGAAAGGGGAGGATTTGGTTTGTCAAATTGGAACTCATACAGTGATGCCTCGCAAGACGAATGCCTCGCGCAATGAAAAACTCGCAAGACGAAAGTGTTTTGTGATTTTTGGTGACTCACAAGACAAATTTTTCTATGGCCATGCTTCGCAAGATGAATAGGAATGCATTAATTAAATTTCAATGCATTCCTATGGGAAACCGTGCTTCACAAGATGAAATTTTCACAATGCGAAATGACTCACGGAACAAATTATTTTCGTCTTGCGAGGCATCACTATACTATCAAGCAAGCGCATTAATTTGAGATTAGGGAATGGATAAAGCTAAAAAAATAAGAGAATACTATGCTTAGAGGGACATGACCTGCAAGCAGGTTGGCATGTGTTTCTATTAGACGGAAGAACTAAAACTCATAAATTTTATTTATTTATTTGTTTGTTTGTTTGTTTGTTTGATTTATATCCCGCCCATCTGGTATATTCTACCACTCTGGGTAAATACTTTGACTTTCTGTTTTCTCGCTGCCCAGGGCAAGCAGGAAGGAAGCCACATCCGCCCCTGCAGAGCAGCAAGCCGAGCTTCGCCACCATCCGTCGGGCGGAAGCCAGTTGGGACATAGGTGGGTAAAGGACGGAGAACTCCCAGCCACAAAGAGGGATAGGTTTCTGCGGCTCTTTCCTCCGACGAGCATTGCCGCGTTGAAGGAATTATAGGAGAAGCTGGCTCTCAGATCCTTCACCAGCGGTGATTAAAATAGCGATGGAAGAGATCCCATTTTGAGGATGGAGGGGCCTGTCGTGTCACATCAGAGATGAAGCACATGGTAAAGGACGGAGAACTCCCAGCCACAAAGAGGGATAGGTTTCTGCGGCTCTTTCCTCCGACGAGCATTGCCGCGTTGAAGGAATTATAGGAGAAGCTGGCTCTCAGATCCTTCACCAGCGGTGATTAAAATAGCGATGGAAGAGATCCCATTTTGAGGATGGAGGGGCCTGTCGTGTCACATCAGAGATGAAGCATATGTTAGATCACTGGTTCTTAACTTTTGCTACTCAGATGTTTTTGGACTGCAACTCCCAGAAGCCTTCACCATCAGCTCTGCTGGCTGGCATTTCTGGGAGTTGCAGTTCAAAAACACCTGAGTAACAAAGGTTAAGAACCACTGTGTTAGAGGACCTTCAAATTATTTTATGGCATGGACTAAGGAGAAATCCGCTCCTTCTCCGGCTTCCTCTCGGTGGACCCCAGCCTGCTTGGCTCCCTCATCCTTCTTTCTTGCGGGCCTTCCTGGCCACCACAGCTGTTTTGAAGGATGAAGGATATTTACTTCCGTCTCCCTCTGTGGATGATGAAGGGAAAATATGGTTTTTCCCAGAGCTCCTGACATTCAAGTCTAGAGAAATGAAGTTTTTTGGGGAGTGGTCTTTCTCAAAACTGGGGAAGGGGAAAATATTCGTTTGGACTATGAGATCCAGAATCCCTTAGAGGCTAGGGGTTCTGGGACTTGTAGTCAAAAAATGTCATTTTTTCCCCCAAAGCTCTGGCCTCTGTGGGGTCAGTCCCCTTTGGCGCTTCCCAGGGGTGTGTTGATTTTCTTTGAATCAGGTCAGGTTAAGTAAAGCTCTTTTTCTGATTTGAGGTGGGAGTCAAATGAGGTTCGGGAAGCCACGTGGTTTAATTTGAGCCAGTTCCACCTGAGCTTGAAGGAGCTGGTTTGTCTCCAGGCACGAGCACTCGGTAGATCCTCCATGTCCAGAGGCAGTCTACCTCATTGGTGCCAGGGACAAAGAGAGCTGCTTCCCTCATGCTTGGCTCGTAGCCTTTCCGGCTCGTAGCCTTCTTTTTGGCTCACGCTGGAAGCAGGATGTTAGGCGGGGGGGGGGCCTTGATCCGAGTCCAGCCCAGCAGTTGGCTATTCACCAGGTAGCTCGCACAAGATGAGCGCTTACTGCTTTTGACAAGGGATGGGGAGAAAAAAAATCATTTTAAGGGTAGGCCATACCCATTGTTTCCCTGTCCTTTCTCCATATTCCTTACAGCCGAAGAAAGTTCCCCCAGGGAAAGCAGGTGCAGGGAAATCCTCCAGGACAACACCCCTCCGGAAGGAAATCCAGGTGGGGCCGAGGAGAAGGGGCCGACCCACGGCTCGGAGAAGGAGCTACCAATGGTGCTTGCCAAGGTCAGTGAAGGAGGCTCAGGGGATTGGGCAAGTGAATGACCGGTGGTCTGATGGGCTTGGGGGGGTTGGGTTTCCTGCTGGAAAGCAGATCAGAACCCACCCACTGAGCTCCTGCAGGTGAGATTGAAGTCACCTGGGCGAGAGAGAGAAGAGGGAATAGCATGATGCCAGTGCGTGAACAAGGGTTGGAAAGTGCTGCCCCACCAAGTATTAAGGGGTGGTAAAGGATGTGGTGGTGCTGCGGGTTAAACTACAGAAGCCTCTGGGCTGCAAGGTCAGAAGACCAGCTGTTGTAAGAAATCCACGCAATGGAGTGAGCCCCGTCGCTTGTCCCAGCTCCTGTCAACCTAGCCGTTCGAAAGAATGCAAAATGCAAGTACCTGTAGATAAATAGGTACCACTTTGGTGGGAAGGTCACGGTGTTCCGTGTCTAGTCGCGCTGGCCACGTGACCACAGAAACTGCCTACGGACAAATGCTGACTCTACGGCTTGGGGACGGGGATGAGCACCGCACCCTGGAGTCGAACACGACTGGACTAAATGTCAAGGGGAACCTTTAGCTTTACCTAAAGTTCAATGTAGCTGCTTTCCCACTCAAACAACCCTGCGGTTTAGGTGGAATCACACCCACCTGCCTGAGCAATCGAGAGCGGTCCCCCCATGTCTCAGGTATGGTGTCACAAAGACAGTTCTGGGACAGAAGGGTTTTTTAGAAAATATATATTGCAGTGTTCTGGGAACTGAAGCATTTATTTTCTTCTTGTACAGTAAGACCTCCGTGTCTGCGGGAGATCAGTTGCAAGCCCCTCCGTGGATACTGAAACCGTGGATTATAGCAAACACCGTATTATAACAGTGAATGCTATGCTATGCCTATCATGGTCTCTGGCTCCCTCTTGTGGCCAGTTCTGGTAATGATATCAAGAAAATAGATTTCTGCAGCAAACACTATGCAAGAAATGGTCTGTTGCTCCCTCTAGCGGCCAGTTCTGGTCATGTCATCTTTAGAAATACCTATTTCTAAGAAATACATATTTCTAAGATTTTTCTTTTAACGTCTTTCATATTTTCAGACTGTGAATAAGTGAATCAGTAGATACTGTTCCCACAGATAAGGGGGTCTTACTGTACTTACTTCTGTACCCAGCAACAATGAATATCTGGTTATTGTAAATATAATCATCCTCTTAGAACTGCAGGGCTGGAAGAAACCCTATGGATCATCAGGTCTACCCCCAGTGGGGGAATCGAACCCCGAACCTCTGGCTCCGTAGTCGGAGACCTAAACCGCTGAGCTATCCAGCAGTTCTATAGCCTTTGGTCCTTTCTCCACCAAAGGAAACATATGTCCTATAAATCAAACAAACTGGAGAATGGATTCTTTTATGGCTTTACCCACCCAGGAATGGGCCAGCTTTGGGCTTCCACAGAGTTCTTCGGAGAGAAAAGGAAGGAGGCTTAAGGGTGGCAAATCTCAAGAGGGCTGCGCAGAACCTTCTGTGTATCCTTGCCTCCTTCTTCCTCGCCCACATTATCTTCTTTCTCTCCTCTCTCTCTGTCTCTCTTTCGTTCTCCGTTTTCAGCAATTCAGGGATCCCCCGTCCTTCCCGCGCCCTCCCAAGCCGGTCGCCCTCCCCCGGGGCCGGAAACCTCCCAGCCAACCCGAGAGAAGCCGTAGCAACGAAGAAGCCGGGGTAGCAGGAGGGGCCACCCCGGACGATACACGTACGTCCCCCCCAATTGCCCAACCCCGGCGCAGACCCAAGGAACAAGACGTTGAAGGTGACGTGAGACTTGGGCGGGTGGGAGAAAGCCTTGCCTCCCTCCGGTCAGACCTGGGACCAAATGGGGGTGTTGGCAAAGTCTTTGGCTCAGAGTCCCCAGTTCGAGTCTTCGGCACCAAGTCCCGAGACATCCGAGTCCCTATTAAAAGCAAGGTGTTCTTTTTTCCCCCAGAAAAAAAACGGGAGGCGTGGGTGGGTTCTCGCAACTCGAGCCCTCATTCCTGAGGCTCGCCGTTGCCGTGACTGAACGGGAGGAAACATGCAAAGATCTTTCTTTCTGGTTCTCCTTTGTCTGTCCCCGTTTCTTGCATTATTTCTCGATTTATTTAAAATGCAGTCTCTTTTTAGAAAAAATAAATAAATCACCCTTTAAAATTGACTTGGCAACAGAAGGTAAATATATCTTCTTTTGGGGGGGGCCTTAAAACTCCCAGGGGTCTTCCGGGGATATGTGGCCAATGTCCACCATTAGCTGGAAAGTGTTATCACTCAGTCCAGAAAATATTATCGGTTTGGCCCAGTGGTCACGTTGATTGAGGAATGGGGGCCGGGGGGAATTTCTGTTGTTCAAAGGGGAACGGATTCCATACTTTCAGGCTTATACCTTTTAAGTGGTCCGAGGGACCAGGGATCTCTGTGGGAGACCATCTTCTGCCTTACAGAAGGTCTCTCTCTCTCTCTCTCTCTCTTGGTCTCTGTCTTTTGCTGATGAAGAGGGGATGATGGGACATAGGGCTCTCCAACACTCTTTTGTTTCTCTTCCAGGGGAGCCAGAAGTGGGGAGGAAAGCAGCCCCTCTCAAGCCAAAGAGGACGCGGCGAGCACAGTCCTGCGACAAGCTGGACTCGGATCGGGGCCGAAATCTGGGCCCTGGAGGTGAAGTGCCAGCATAAGGCCCCTTTCCCGCGGGATGCAGCCTGACAGCTGGGAGGGGAGAACCGAGGGTGGCCGTGCTGGGGTGGCGCCTTCTAGCTGGTCTGTCAAGCTAGGGTGCATTTTCATGGACAGAAAGCTTGCTAGGAAGCATCTGTATCCATACGAATGTGCCTAATGGTGCTTGCCTGCTAGGGAGGATCAAGCACTCTGTGCATGCTCAGAAAACATAAAAAGGACTACACTGGAGGATACCAACGTCTTCTTTAGTCCAACATTCCGTTCACGTGCTTAAGATCCATCCAGTTCCCGTTGGGAGACACACACACATCCCTAGAAAGAGGCAGAGTAAATTTTATTTTATTTATTTATTGAACTTATATTATTTATTTATTTGACATATGCCACCCACACTAGCCAGAGGTCTCTGTGCGGCTTGCAACGATTAAAATACAATAAAAAGATAAAACAATTAATATACAATTAAAATATATACTCTAAAATTGTACCCCTCACCTTGCATTCCTATACAATTAAAATATATACTCTAAAAAATCGTACCCCTCATCTTGCATTCACCAGCAGATGATGCACAGAGCCATCCCACCTCGGATGGGGAAGGTAGAAGAACAGCCTTATACCAAGTCCTCCACAGCAGATGATGCACAGAGCCATCCCACCTTAGATGGGGAAGGCAGAACCACGAGGAGCAGGCTTGGACCACATTACCTGACCAATATTGCCACTTCTGACCATAGAGATGGGATTTGGGGGTTATCAGACTACAAACCCCTTAAACTCGCAGTTTCTGGGAGTTGTGCCTGACGGACGTCTAAATGTGGCTCGCCTGGCAGAAAGGCCTGAACAAGCAGGCTTTGAGGCTGAGCTCAGTCTAGTTCCACCCACGCTTCCTGTTCCTGCCCCACGGCTAGCTGGGAGCTTCCTTTCTCAACAGGAAACTATACAGAGCTAGGCCTAGCTCAGTGTCAAGGCCTTCCAGTTCAGGCCTTGCTTCCAGGCGAGCCAAATTGGGGTGCCTGTCAGGGGTCTGTTTCGTCAGGGAAAACTCCCAGAGTGGAGTTGGATTTGTACTCCTATGTTTGACGAAGTAGACATATCCACGAAAGTAGACATGTCACATTAAAATAGAATAGACCTTAAGGTGCCGCATGCTTCATAATTTTTGGTCTTTTTTGTTTTGTTTCTTTGTATTTTTTCGTAATTTTTTTTTACATTTCTTACAAAAATTTGGCAGCCGTGGATCTCCCCGGTTTTAGGCCTGGTCCTCCCGGCAGATCCTTAGTATTTCCCTGGCGATCTCTTCTTCCGTCACTATTGAGGTTCAGTCCTCCTTAAGTGGACAGAGTGCGAATCTGCCAACCATGAGCGCGTCTGCCCCCTTTAGCTGCTCCTCTCTGGGCAGAAGGAAATGCAGAACGGGCAGACTGAGCGTGGAAGCCATTCCGCCCTCTCTCCTCCTTAGCCCTAAGGCGCTCTGCCTGTCCCTCCATCATGTCCCTGTGTGTGGCACGTGGCCCAAAGCTCAGCTCAATGTGCCCACGATCTGCTGGGGTGCCCGAATCCCTGATAACTCTGTATGTCCCACGTGATTCGGGAGACCATGATAGCCAAGACAGGAATGCTAGCAGCCCCTGCCCCCCCAGAAGCAACAAAATTGTGAGGGACAGGAGTGGAATGAGCAGCTTGTGGGTTTGGTGTTTTTTGTTTTGTTTTGTTTTTTAGGGCTGTGGGAAGGGGCCCGAAAATCATTTCTGTCTGGTTCACACCATTTCTCCCCAATTGAAATGTTTTTTCACGAAAGCTTGCCACCAGCCATCTCTTTAGACTCCATTTCCCATCACTCACCTCCTCCTGTTTTTCCCCTTTCTTCACCACACCACCTTTCTCTCCTCCCCCCCTCCACAGGTCCTGGGGACACCCCCCTGCCCGACCCTCCTCCTCCCCCACCTGAGTGCAACGCCTGCACCTGGAGGCCGCGACCGGCTCTTCCCCAGCCTCTCCTTCCGGCGGACTTGACGGTGGGTAGGTATCAAGAGCCTCCTTCGGCCGGACAGCCCAAGACTCACCGGTGGGTCGGTCAGTCAGTCATCCTCCCTCCCTCCTTCCCTGCCTTGCTCTCTCTTTCTCCCCCCTGCCTGACAGCTCCCTCTGTCTTTAGGATCTCCCGAATCTGGGACAAAATGATGGACAGGCACTCTGTTGATGTTGTTGCTGCTGCTGCCTTTTCATCTTCCGGTGGAAAAAAGCGAGGGAACACAAGACCTGCAAGAACCACAAGAGAGAAAGGCGACTTCAGAGAAAACACCCTTTTTTTCCAGCTCTCCCCTCCTCCTGAGTGGGTCCGACCTCCCACCCTATAGTCCGTCTGGGACCAGCCCCGTCTTCAGTGCTGCTGAAACCCTGGATTTTTTTCTCCTTCCCCCACACCTCCTTTGGTGCCTGTTTCTATCCCTTGCTTCTGGGTCCAACCTGCCCGCCCGTCTTCCCCACAGGAACTGGAGAAGTTTTCCTCTTTTTTTGAAACCAGGGTGGGGAGGGGGGGGAAATTAAAAAAGCCACAACAAATCCCATGCTCCCTTTTCTCCCAATCTTTGTGGGGGTGTTGAGACGGAAACCCGAACACCCCCTGCGCCCTTGGGAGATGGATCCTACACCGCCTCGTTTGCTTGCCTTCGGAGACCTTTTGACATCTTCTCCTCCAGCTTCTTCTCTGTCGGGCTCCCCCCCTACCCCAAATCCCACCCTCCACCTGGGGGTCCCCATCACTGGTCCTGCACTTCATCCCCTCCTTCCGATTCGAACCATCCTATTTTCAGCTTGTACAAAAGAAAAGAGAATCATAATAAATTATATATGGAAACTTTAAAAAGCAAACGAGCGTGCATTTGGGGGGGGAGCTTTGTGGGAGAAGAATTCTCGCGTGCGAAGTGGTCCAGGCAAGGAAGAGAGTAAATCTGCTAAATTTGCTAACTGCCTCTTGTCTGGACCACCAATCTTTAAACCCCTTTCAAGCTGAGAAGGATTTGTTCAAGAGAGGCTTGATGTTAACTAAGAAGCATCCATGCCGGATTGAACCACCACCTCTATAGCTCAGTATTCTTTTCATACGATGCACCGAAAGGAGGCCCACAGGGAGTTCTCGGGGGGGCGGCGGCATGTTCTTTCGTTGTGGTTCATTTCCTTTTATTTCATTTCCTTTTTTACGACTACCCTTTGTGCCGTGCCGCTCCACTACAAAATTGTGGCCAGCATTACAGACAAACATCACCCAAATAATAAAAAGCAAATCTAACTGCTAAAAACGGATAAAAGCAAACACAATTCACTCATCCATCCAAAGAGAGAGGCAGCCGAGCCATCGGAAGATGACAGGGGCTCAGAAAGGCGGCCAGAAAGGAATTAGAAAAGATCATGAAGTGTTAAGGAGGTGTCGCTGGAGAACAAGGCGAAGATCATCCACACCCTTGTCTTTCCAGTCGCCATGGAGGGGTGCGAAAGCTGGAGAGGAAAGAAAAGTGATAGGAGAAAAAAATTATTTGTTTAAAATATGGTCCTAGGGGGAGAGCTTTGCAGACCGCCGGAAGGACGAATAAGTGGGTCCGAGATCAAATCAAGCCCAAACTCGAGGTGTCGCTGGAGAACAAGGCGAAGATCATCCACACCCTTGTCTTTCCAGTCGCCATGGAGGGGTGCGAAAGCTGGAGAGGAAAGAAAAGTGATAGGAGAAAAAAATTATTTGTTTAAAATATGGTCCTAGGGGGAGAGCTTTGCAGACCGCCGGAAGGACGAATAAGTGGGTCCGAGATCAAATCAAGCCCAAACTCACTCTGGAGGGAATTAGAAAAGATCATGAAGTGTAAGGAGGTGTCGCTGGAGAACAAGGCAAAGATCATCCACACCCTTGCCTTTCCAGTTGCCATGGAGGAGCGTGAAAGCTGGAGAGGAAAGAAAACTGATAGGAGAAAAAAAATATTTGTTTAAAATATGGTCTTAGGGGGAGAGCTTTGCAAACTGCCGGAAGGACGAATAAGTGGGTCCTAGATCAAAACAAGCCCAAACTTACTCTGGAGGCAAAAAGGTTGAAACTGAGGGTGAATTACCAGAAGCTAGCTGTCTGTCGCTTGCTGTTTTTCAGTAGCTTGATAAAGGTATCTCCTGATCTCTGGATTGTTTTGGCCACCCCACGGCCCTTTTCAGATGTTTTTTCCAGGAGAAACCTGCTGCTGGTATTTCAAATGGCCAGCAGGTGGCAGCAGTGATGCAGTCAAGAGAAAGAAAGAAGCTTTCACCCAACATTACAGGGGACCCCTTGGCCGCTTGTATGCAGAAACGGCTGCCTATCCCAGCACAGAAGATGTTGGTCCTCCTGGTTTGCCCTGGCTAGCCCTCTCCTTGGACAGAGTGGGGCCAATGCCTCAGGCAGCAGGTCACGGGAGGGGGGGTAGGGGGTGGCATGCGCATTTCACTCTCTTAGACATAGGGTTGCGCATGCCCCTGTGATGTACCCCACCGCTGAAAATCCGACTCCCGAACCGTGTGCATAAAATGAGGGGAGGGGTAGCCTTTAATTCCTTTGCCTCGGGCAGCAAAAGGTCTCGGGGTGGCCGCTCTCCAGGCTCTCGTGCCGAGATGCTTCTTTCCCATTAGAAAATCACCATCTTTTTTTTTTAATGTGGGCTAGAGTTGCTTTCTGGGGCCCTTCTGAGATAAGTGGCCCCGAAGCTTAAGCTTCATTCGTTTCAGAGGAGAACTGCTCAGCTTTGGGGTAAAACGGGAGGAATGCAAAAGTCACGGTAAAGGTCATGCATGTACTGTGCGCATTACGATCCATCGAGTTGCCTCCAGATTATGGCAGTACTAACACATTTTTTCATCTGCCTGAATCGCTCTCTTTAGTCATTTGGAAGCAGTTGTTTGTTTGCTGTTGATCTGCTCGCAACTGTAAATAAAGAATAGCTTTAGGTATCCGTTGGGAGTTTGATTCCCCACTGTGCCTCCTTTGAGTAAAACCACCTTGTATTGGCCTTGAGCTGGTTGTATCGTCCCAGGGCACCCTAGAAGAAAGAAATTATAACCCACTTCTATGTAAGAACCCTCTAGCTGAAAAGCCCTGGAAAGGGTCACCACACATCAGAATAGACTTGACAGCACCTTATTGTTATTATTAACACATTTTCAAGGTATCTGAGATAATCATCATCTTAGAACTGAGGAGCTGGAAGGGACCCTGTGGATCATTGAGCCCAGCCCTACTCAAGGAGGCACCGTGGGGGAATCGAACTCCCAACCTCGGGCACCACAGCCAGAGACCTTCATCTGCCTGAATCGCTCTCTTTAGTCATTTGGAAGCAGTTGTTTGTTTGCTGTTGATCTGCTCGCAACTGTAAATAAAGAATAGCTTTAGGTATCCGTTGGGAGTTTGATTCCCCACTGTGCCTCCTTTGAGTAAAACCACCTTGTATTGGCCTTGACCCTGTGGATCATTGAGCCCAGCCCTACTCAAGGAGGCACTGTGGGGGAATCGATCTCCCAACCTCTGGCCCCACAGCCAGAGACTTAAACCACTAAGGACTGCTTTTAAGCAGAGGTTTCTGATCCAAACTATAACCTCTCCTGCACTGTCCCCAATAGATATGCTCAGCCACAGTCACCACCACCAATGACCATCATGGCTGGAGGATGATAGGCTCTGTAATCCAACATGTTGCTTTCTTTGGCGGGGGGGGGAAGCTGACTTATCATGATGCAAACTAGTTCCAGACCTTGGAAAAAGTTGCTTTTTTGGGGGACGACCGTTCCCAGATTCTACCAACCCACTTTCCACCATCGCCTTCTCCAACCCGGGGCCCTTCAGGTGAAGGCCAGCTGGGGGACGATGGTGGTTGTAGTAGTGCTGTGGCTCTGGAATACTTCCCCCCGGGTCTGGGAAGGCTGTCAGAACAAGGGAGGAAATACGTTACCCCCTGAGACTTCACAAAAGAAAATTGGGACATGTTCCAAGCACAGCTGGCACTTTATCCGCCCCCCAAATTTCCAATGTGCTGTTGAATCCTTCGCTCCATAACCCATGGGTTATGTTCATTTATTCCGCCTATGTCTTCCCCTCACCCAGCAGGGGTGGGTGGGAGGGGACGGTGGCTTTGTTTCTCCTAGATAAAGATATACCCGCAGAACCATAATTTGTTCTGTAAGAGAGTCATCAAGCCTTCAAGATTTCTGCCTTGCCAGCTGCGGGGTCTGGAAGAACCTTTGTCTGTATCACGGATGCTAAAAGGCAGGATGCGTCCACCCCCCACGGTGAGATTTCGTTCCTAGAGACCCCCCCGGAGAGAAAGAGAGAGATGGAGAGAGGCAAAAGGATGGAGATATGAGCAAATCAAGCGAACGCTCCTTTCAAGGGATGTTCTCCGAAGCCGGTCCAGCCCTACCGTCAGGGGTAACCTCGTTGCCCTCCCTGGACGAATCTCCTCTTTCGAAGGACGGAACCAGAGAAGATGCACAGTCCGGCCGGTATTTCCTGCTTCCTGAAAATAACACCTGGAACTGGTACATCCACTGGAATCTAGGTCAAAAACAGAGAGAAAGAACTGTACCGTAGTTGCAGAAGATAGAAAATATAATGTTCTTTAATTCAGTGTAAAATGCCCAATGCATTTCGGCCAATCAGTCTTCTTCAAGGGCATGTTTATTAAACTCTAATGAGCTCTTGTTTATTCGGCCTGTACCCGTCTCCATTAAATCAATGTTACACTGAAATCAAGAACGTTATATTGTCAACGTCCAGGAATGACAGTTCCCTGTTTCTTATGACCTAGAATTAACTGCTTCCTCCCATTCAGATCGGGTGGAAGAAGATATTGTGTGGCCTGTGGTTCAGCAACCCATCTGAGCGTGGACCAAGGAACGAGATGGCTTCTCTTTCACCTCGGGCGGCAAAATGTCTTGGGCCACCCCTGCCTAAAAGCTAAAAGCAACAACTAGAAAAGGTCGTCTTAAGGGAAGAAAACTCCCCCAAGTTCTCCTCCGCTTGCACGTTTTTAAATTTCATTTAAAATATTTGTTAATCCCACCAAACTCCTTCTAAAAGACCCAAGGCCGCCTACATGATTAAAAGACAATATGTAAAGCTTAAAAACAAATCCTAAAAAGGAGTTAACAAATACCGCTCTGAGAAACAGTAAACAAAAGCAGTCCCAAAAATGCATTAAAAGCAGTAAGGCACAGCAATAATCCATTTAAAAAAAACCCACTCAGGTAGCCGGTCGCTCAGGGAAAGCCTGCCTGAAGAGAAAGGTATTTTGCCTGCTTGCGGAAGGAGAGCAAAGATGGGGCCAGGGTGGCCTCCAGTGGGAGGGAGTTCCAAAGTCTGGGAGCAGCCACAGAGAAGGCCCTCTCCTATGCGTCCCTACCAAACATGCCTGTGAGGATGATGGGACAGAGAGAAAGACCTCCCCTGACGATCTTGACACCCAAGCAGGCTCGTGAAAGGAGACGTGGTCCTTGACGTGACCAGTTCCCATTGGGTTCTCGGCAAAAAGCT